ATGACGTGTTACTAGCGTCGCGTGACCTCCGCTGTCGTAACAATATATTTTTGATCTTGGGAAACTAATTAGAAGGGAAAAAAGGTCTAATTTTAAGAACTTATGGGTAAAAGCGAAGACTAATGTGTAACAGAATGTCAACCCACTATAATCTGGTTCTGAAATAGCTCATGAACTTCAAATAGCCTTACGATTTCCAAGAAATTAATATCCATGTATAACTGTATTATGGAAATGCCTAGACCAGATGGCAGTGAACTTCAGCGTTTTGTTTTAGCTATAATTATACATGTACATTAATCTGAAAGGACGACAGCTGATTTTCTGATACTGTATTTGCTGTCTACAGGTGTAGTATATTTTATTCAAAGATTCTTACGAAGGTTCATCATATTTCGGTTAATACCTGAAGTTACATACATGTTTACTACAAAAATAAATCAAAACCAATACCGATATTACACACGGTACCAGCGTCACATACACACATTAAAAAATAGTGTGTGTGCACAGACAGACAAGTACATGTTGAACCATTAAGAATATGTTGAACTCGATCCATAATTGCATACACACGCAAAAGAAATAAAATATTATCTTGAGATAATAGCTGAAAATATAACTTGGAAATATTCTTCTTCAAATAAAAATGTAAATAACTTAAGGTTACTACTTTTCACGTCTTAAGTAAACTGTTGAAGATTGGTCACTTCTAAATTACACTTTCAGTATCACACGATGTCTTATTTCTCAGCCATAATTTTGTTTTATAACCTGAAAGCAAACTTTCTATGATGGAAAACTTGCCAAGAACCATCAATCTAATTCCTTTCTCATCCACAAGTTTCAAACAAAATCCATGACTTTTAGAATGCTACAAAACAAACATTTATTGAAGTACTGTATATTGAATATCTTAACAATGCTTGAAAGCTAAATCCCTCCAACTCATGTTTGGTTTGCCAATGTACTCATGTTAAATGGCTAATACTAGCTACTTCAAAGTCCAATGTTGGTCCAAAGCTTTATACCTGATTTCTTCGTGATTTTCAGTTTGCTTTCTAGGAGTCTGACGTATCCTTCAAGCTTTCTAAAAGATTTAAAAGATCTGGTTTTCTCCAGGTCCTATATCTACTTCTGATCTTCTCTCGATTAATTGTTATGGGATGACTTTCTTATGGCTCAAAAGTGTATTACTGTTTTTCATCCAGCTCAATGACTTCTTTCAACTATTCTGTTAGCATGTTCCGGATCCAATTTCTGCAACAGAGTTTCTATAGTAATAACCATTATTCAAGAG